TATGGTATATCACATCCATCGAACGGAAGTTTACGTGCGACTCAGGCTAGCAACAACAATTTAATAATGAGCATTCATAACACATGCATTTTCAACACCACAGTTCCAGCAAGCTGATTCTCACCCTTGTTTTTACCGTGCATTTGTATGCATCCAATTGAAGCAGTTTGCTTCTAGCACCATACCATTGAAAAATTGGTCAATGTGAATTGTTCATTTTGAGTTGGTGGACATCATTAGATATTGTTAAGCATTATTGATCATGATTTTATTGGTTACAATTGTTGATGCCATGGCATAGTTGAACTAAAATATGTGGTATGACGCCAACTTCAGATCAAAATTTTCGTCCGCCACTCATGAGTCACGCAAAAATCGCAGCATCAGAAGCGCGGTACCGTTTTGCTCGGGGATGCTGTGCTGTACATCAAAAAGAGAAAAAAACATTAGAATAATGTGTGCTGTGTAATGTTACCGAGTGGCTTGGCCCCTCAAGCCCCGTAACGAGATTTGTGAATGTGACCGGATTTTTATCGCCCGTTAAACACACGTCTATATGTTTGTAACGTAGCGCAGTGTACCCACTAGCACTAGACCACTCCTCCCCTCGTATTAAAAAGTCGTGTTTGCGCTCACCGTCAGATCAAAACTGTAACTGCTAGGTGGACGAACGATGTAACACACTTTACACGCCCAGGACCATGAAACATGCAAAGGTTGAGATGAAAAGCTTCGGAGAGCACGAGAATGACCTTAGACCTCATGCCTGACCTGACCCTGTCTCCCTACCTCAAGCAACCGAAAATACGTGCCGCCGTCCATGACCGCCTTTGAGGAGTGCCTTCATCACTTACGGTGACCTTTAGGGGCGTGCCTTTACTTTCGCATCCGAGCGGGGTTGAACTGAATGCTATTGTTTATTATGCGAAGATTTAAAACAGAAACTGACTCTCGTAAAATGGGCTAAATCCGTTAAAAATGGATAACAGGTTTTTAAGCTCTCGGCTCGGTCCCTTCAATCATTAAAAGATTAAACCCCTGAGTGATGGCAATATGTCTTTGAGGTCTTGGCTCCGTCCCCTCAATAGTTAAAAAGTAACACCACTGCATGAAAGTGCTGCAGCACTTTTTACACCGGAGCCCTGTTATAAAGAGGCTTTATGTAATATATGATCGCGGTGTGGTGTGCGAGTGGTGCGCAAAACTTTTGGTGTGCATTTGGCATTGTGACACATTTTTTTTAAAAAACACTTTAAACTATTGCACGTCATGGCGTTACAAATGCACATCGACTGATATCGGCGTGGGATTGGAGATAAAAGCAGACGGCTTCAATGTAATGCGTAGAGGTGCCCAGAAAAAAAACAAGGGTAGAGACAGAATTGTTATCATTGTGATGCAGAAGATACGTGTGTCCATTAATGGGGCACCTTGGCCCGTACTCAATGGAGACTCCAGATGGAGAGACCATGTGGCCATGACCCCCCCCCCCTTCTCGCCCTGGGCCGTAGGGGCACCAAAGTCTCATGGTGAAGGAGCGCCAAAGTCTCATGGTTAAAGACATCCATATCAAATTCATTTTCAAGAGACACCGAATTTTAGGAGCACTACAAATGGCCCCACATCTTCATTTTCGAGAGGCACACAAGTCTAAGGACACTACATTGGGCAAAAATGTGATTCTCAGGGGACATCAATTTCAGGGGCACAGCAATGTTGCGACTCTCCACCTGACAGAATCCTGCACTGGTCCCTCGTGCTATGGGCACCAATACACTTATTTCGGAACACCACAGCCTTAACTTTAAACAGGCGCTATGCCTCAGCGGGCCATTTAAAGGGCTCAGAACATTGATTTTAAACAACAGCCACAATCCAAGATCGCCACAGTTGCCGTACCTTGCGCTGCCTGGACATGATTCTAATCGGCCCGTTCTACAAAGTGGTCAAAGATCTTCATTTCCAGTATCATAATATTTTTTTTTTTTTTTGCATTGGCTTACATGCAAAAGGCACTACAAGCTGTGGCGGACCTAGAGGGGAGGGCCATGGGCCATTGTCCCTCCTTCTTGGGCCCCCATGAGGTTTCGGTGCCCCGAAGAGGCCAACCCACATCTCCCGGTGAAGAGCATGGAAACCTTCATTTCGGAACCAACCACATGACCTACATTTTCACGGAGGCGCCAAATGGCAGTGGCCCGTACCACAAGGGCACGGAATCTTGGATCTCGAGTCATAAAATTTCAGGGACATCATAATCCGAGCCGGAGGACTATCAAGAGAGTTTTGTGTTTGTATTCACATTTGTGTAGCTGTGTTTCTCCTTCACGTGGAGCCATGCAGACCTATTCTATCAAGCCTACACCCCAGCGAATCGCAACTAGGGCTCACTTGGGTGTGCTGGCAAAGTCACCCGGCACCGCAACCTGTTTCCGCTCTTTGTTGTCTTTTTTCCTACACTTTGGCTTTTCTTTTTGTCTTAAAGTAGCGCTAATTAGCCGTTTGCTCACATCACATGTCTGTTCTAAATATCGAATCTTCTTAACTGCCTGCTCCCGATCCAAGGTTGTCAAAACCCATTTAGTGGCCAATACTTATAGTGCTGCGATTCATGTCCAATGGCTTGAAGGCTTAATAGCGTAAAACTTTTTGCCAGCTTTAAGTTGAAAAACAGACATATTATAGTAATTTTTTATTCAAGATGCTGATACATTTATTAAACAATAATGTAATTTATCAATCAGCAAGTTCACTTTAATTCTAATCACGAGCTACTTCATCTCTACAGTCGCAACTTCCTTTTGTGTGTCGGCAGAGTCGGGGGCTGGGTGTCCCCAGGACGATTCATCAGCATGGTGAGTTATGACAGTCGGAGCGTGTCCTACACTTCATTTATTGATTATGTACTCCTGTTTCTACTTTTCAAGCGTCCTGATTTCTCCAGTAGCTGCGGTTGGGCGCTCTACGACGGTTAGATGGAAGCGGCCGAGAGCCCCAATAAATAACTTGATGCTTTAGTGCCTTAACCTGATCTGTCGGATGTATTCGCAGGCCTGGTCGGGATGTATTTTTGTTAAGAATGTGCTGCCTGACCTTAATACTGGTTTGGCTTGAAAATACCAAATGCTGGTTTTGTTCACCGGATGGTCCTCGCGCATCCGCTCCCGCACGCAACTACACGCCCAATGTCTGTCTTCATGTTGTCTGCCAGGCATGTGCAGTATGGTTCCATGTATAAATACTGGCAAGGTCCAAGTTGTGTGCATGATAGTAGAAGGATGTTTCCAAAAATTTTAGGCCAGCTGTTGCATCTGCACAGCATATTGCATGGATATGTGCACAACATGTGCTTGTGCTTCAGTGCACCAAGCTCAGACCATGCTGAATTATGCAGAATTGTAAGTTATTTTGTGTGAGAGAATGTTTTTGGAGTGTGCTTGCCTGAAAATACCTTGCAACCTAATGCCTGAAAGCTGCGCACTGTACTGGTGTCAGAGGTGACCATGTGTTTACATTAACATCAAGCTTGCACTCAAAATTTCCATCCAAAGACAATTAAGGATAAATGGTTCAGTGAGCTGCCTGAATGTAGGCTGAGCTACCCTTATTTAGTTTTAACTCCCATTTCAAGAGTTTGTGCCCACTTTTGCTATCAGGAGGTCCCTGATATGTGTGGTATGTGAAAGCAGAAAATGGGCTTCTCAGGTCTTTTACTTAAGGAGTAATGACAGATGTTTTAACTTGTCTTTGTTCAGCATAACAATGAAGGGATACCAAGAATATGTTGGGAAATGAAGTGGGTATTTATAGTCATAGTGTGGATTGACTTGCAGCTTGCATGCTATTTAGCTTATGTGAGGAATGTGTAATTGGAGGTCTCAGTGATGTACGCCAGTTGTTGCAATCAAAGGAGACTGCTATGCTGCAGGTCATCAGAGCAGGTACATCCATGAAAATGCATCCTAATAGGCTTCAGTTTAGACCCTGAAAGAATGGCCTGTCAGATCACTTTTTGGCTTTTTGGTAGCTTTTCATGAATGCAACATGCTGCAGCATGCATTATCAGACTGTAAAAGAAAACTACACATAATTGTAGCTAGTTGGGTTGTTGGGGAGAGTCAGGAACATCTAGTCAAAATGTTTGTTGGCAATGTTTTGGTGACAGCCATGAAAATAGTACATTACTGCAGTCATTATTTGAAACATAAGTTTTAGATGTGAGTAATTAAAATTCAGCATTAATTTTCAGGCATGCTCTCCCATACCAGAACCCTATCCACTGCACTGCGGCACGGAGTGCTATTTGGGAAATGAGCGTGGGTTGGTAACATGGGCAAGTTTTTCTTTTTTAGAATGGGAGTTTCTCACGCATCAAGCCATCTCAAGCTCCCATAGTGTCTGGCCCACCAGCTGTGTTTCAGGCTTTGAGCTACATGTTGGTGTTTGGTACCTGATTTATATTGTCATGTACATAACTTGCACAAGGCAGTTTTTGGACACAATATTGATCAATTGTCATGACTAGCATACCACTGTCCAAGGTCTTGGACAGTTGTTATGCATACAGATTTCCATTTGACATGTAAAATACATGAATATGAGAATGTTACACATATGACATAACTCATCAGGCCATTCCACATCAGCAAATATTCACTTCATTTACATACATGCTGCATGAGTTGCACACAGTATGTTTGTGGTTCAGAGTGACCCTCTAGCTGAGCAGTCACTTTTCCCGTCCATTGGCAGGCGTTAGCACGCCCCCTGATCACCGTCTACGACGAGAAGAATGAGAAGACCGGCGGGACCATCTCGCTGCCGGCCGTGTTCCGGGCGCCCATCCGGCCGGATGTGGTCAACTTCGTCCACCAGAACATGTCGAAGAACGCCCGGCAGCCCTACTGCGTGAGCCGGCTGGCCGGCCACCAGACGTCGGCCGAGTCGTGGGGCACGGGCCGCGCCGTGGCACGTATTCCGCGTGTGCGCGGTGGCGGCACCCACCGCTCCGGCCAGGGCGCGTTCGGCAACATGTGCCGCGGTGGCCGCCGGTTCGCGCCCACCAAGCAATGGCGCCGCTGGCACCGCAAGATCAGCGTCAACATGAAGCGCTACGCCATCTGCTCGGCCGTGGCCGCCTCCGGCGTGCCGGGCCTCGTCATGTCCAAGGGCCACATGATCCAGGAGACGAGCGAGGTGCCGCTGGTGGTCAGCGACAAGGTGCAGGAGTTCACCACCACCAAGCAGGCCGTGAGCTTCCTGCGCAGCACCAACTCCTGGCCCGACATCCAGAAGGTGTACAAGTCGCAGCGCACGCGCGCCGGCAAGGGCAAGCTGCGCAACCGGCGCCGCGTCCAGCGCAAGGGCCCCATCGTGGTCTTTGCCAAGGACCAGGGCTTGAGCCTGGCCTTCAGGAACATCCCTGGTATCGACACCATAAACGTGGATTGCCTGAACCTGTTGAAGCTGGCGCCCGGTGGCCACGTCGGCCGCTTCTGCATCTGGACCGAGTCCGGTACGTTCGGGGGAAATAAGACGTGGTCCGGGTGATGCCTGCGGTCAGCTAGTTGGAAATCTATGCAGTCATGGGTGTTTGTTGAGTCAGCCAAAGTTGTTGTCCTGCTGGTCGTTTTTCTCACACCCTTTGCAGCTGTTTTATGGCTTCCCGAGAACTGCCGCCTCGCTCGCTGCGAATGATGACTCCTGCTTGTGTCCGGGCCAATGAGAGTACCTTGATTAGGAAACAAGCTCTGATTTACTCTTTCGACGCGCCGCAGTACGATTGCCGTCAATTCCTTACGACGGTGTGCCTGTTCACAGCTTTCAAGCAGCTGGACGCCCTGTATGGCACGTGGCGTGCGCCCTCCACCCTGAAGAAGGGTTTCAACCTCCCCATGACCAAGATGACCAACACCGACCTTGCCTCTCTGCTGAAGGCACCTGAGATTCTCAAAGTCTGCAGGAAGCCCAAGTACGTCCAATTGCAGTGCCCACTGCCTCCATTTCACGGTAACGCCACGACAACATGATGATTAAGTTGTCAGACCATGTGTGACGATCACCACTTGCCCTCTCTGAAGCTGCTACCGGGCCCCGCCGCAGCCGTGATCCCGGCCCCGCGCGCTAACCCGAGCCCCCCGTCGCCTCCGCAGTAAGGTGCTGGTGAAGCGGCAGGCCAAGCGGAACCCGCTGCGCAACATGCACGCCATGCTCAGCCTCAACCCGTACGCGGCCGTGATGAAGCAGGCCGCGCTGGCGGAGGAGAAGAAGGTGACGGATCTGAAGGCGGCTCGCCAGCAGCGCTCCAAGGTACGCCGGACGCAGCGACGGGTGGCGGCTGTCTCGGCAGCCGAAAGATAGGTTGTGGCAGCTGATGAACCAGGTCGTGTGTGGCCGATTTGTGTATCCACTGCTTGGTCATTCCATTCAGCTAGTCAGAATAGCAATCACTGGGGAGAGGGGCGGGAAGGGGGGGGGGGGGGGGCAGATCTGCCCGCCGACTACCGGGACTGGCGAGATGGTGTACTCATTCCGTATCGGTGCTAGTTTTATGTAACCTTTTATGAACCGCGTGTGGGAACATGGAGATGGTCAACATAGGTCATTGGAGACACTACGTCAATTACAAGTTTGAGATAAACCGCGTGCCCTACATATGTGTGAGACTGCCACGTATGGAGGACTGGACCTTACCCTTCACATGTTAGCCTGTCAGTTTGCAAGCATTGGCGAGGTAATTAATAATGTGAAATAGCCCCCACTCTGTGGCACAGGTTGGCTGTTATCGGCTCCCAGAGACATAAGCGCCACAAAGTTTTGGATGTCATTGCATAGTGATGATTGCGTGAATGCGGGCCATGGTGGCCACAGGTCTAGTAGTTTGTGTCAAACGGGGTTCACACGGCAAAATCCATGACCCCATGCAATCATAAACCAATGTGTTGAATACCATTCACCTCAACAGGTTCATTAGCAAGGACATCAGCTATTTGCAGGAAAACAATGATCATTCAGTGAGGCGGCACATGAGGCACGCATGTGGAGCACATTTATGATGTGACCACCAGAAATTGGAGCAGACCATGTCTGGTTGAATTGAGATACAAACATCAATATACAACATTGGAAAATTGATGTTGCCAGTCCCCTTTACAGCTCCCAGTGATTAGAGTCAAGTTTGGCATATGCCCACGCACACCACCACGACCATAATTTACAGACGCGTGGGGGATGCCCGGTCCCGGCTCCGTTTTTCACCCCTCGTGTCCTTCCGCGAATTAGCCGCATCAGCTTCGGCGAATGGTTAATGACGGCGCCGTGGAGTCTGATGGAACCGAGTGGGCGATCCCGTAGCGAAAGACGCTCTCCTAAGAGTAGCGCCGGAAATGGGCGTCCCTGCGCGGCCATGCGCCGCCATGGGACAGCGGCATTTTGCTGGTCTCTTAGCGTTTACGCTGTTTAAGATGCCGAGATGCGCTGGCAGACTCCCGCTTCCTCACACGCCATCCCCCCCCCCCCGTCCCCATTTAGCGCCCGTGTTCAGCCGCTTATTGCGTTTACGTTTTCGTTCGCAAGGCGGACCTTGCAAAAACAGGCTAACGTCAAGGCTTGTTAAGTTCGATCGTTGGTCTGAACAGGCAGTTGGAGTGAGCTGGGTCCCCTGGAGTGGAGTTTTAACGTATAGCTGGCGGTTTACAGGCCCGTATTGCTGCTAAGAAACCCAAGGTCGACGCGGAGGCCGCGAAGAGGAAGCTGGCCCGCCAGGAAGCCGGCAAGAAGAAACTTGCGGCGGTGCAAGCCAAAATTGCCGCCTCCAAGGCCAAGCAGGGCAAGAAGTAATTTTGTCCCGAAGGCTGCCTGTTGCTAATAAATAAAGATATCTCCCGGACCAGAAGAGCGTTTCACGTGAAATGAAGCGAATGCGATAAGGTGTTTGCGAGAAACATCAACTTTGCCACGTCTAGTAAACTGCACTCGCACTCGCTATCACGGCTGTTTGCATATTCTTTTTGAGCTGGGTGCTGGTTTCGTTATCCTGTCTGTGACCTCTCGGCCTGGCAGCCCCGTGGCGGAGTGACCCGTCCAACGCCTGACGAGGTGAGTGGTGTGAGATGGGCGGGGCTCCTCCGTCACCATGTCCGGCCGCGGCGGCGCATCCAGTGGACGCCGATTATGCAGCCGGCGGGAGGACATTGGGGTCTCCTGTACTGCCAGATGTGGCCCTGTACCACATGTACTGCCAGATGTGGTCGCACGACCCTCGGCGGCGCAATTAGCGCAGTGAAAATTCGTGAAACTCTTTTTGGGTGTCAGTGCCTCATGGAATGAGGTTCTGACATCCATGTCCATACAGCTATTGCGTGTGACCTGCGTATTACTTTCTGATACCCGTGTGAGGAATGTACGAAAATGTGATATGATCTTATCCGATCAATGTTTGCGTTCGCACCAGCCGGGCCCGTGGACACCTCCCTCAGTGGCGAATACAGCCCGTGGCTTCGGGCCCATTCTGAGACCGAAGTCATCGTTCCGGTTCCTCCGGTCCCCGCGTATTGGCCACGGGGCACGTCCAGGGAACATCCGTCACGTTATGGGGCCAGTGATTGGCGGTGGGAGGAGAGACCTGCTATCACGACTCTGCCAATCCTCGCTCGGAGGGTCCTGTGTGAGGCTGGCCGCGCGTGTGTGTGGTCGCGTACTCCCGGTGCGATGGCGTGTTTCAGGCCAGCGGGCTGGCCTGTATGGCCCCCGGTCGGACCGGTCCAGCTGGAGCAGTAGCGGCCCCGGTGGCTGGCTGATCGCCACTCGCCCCCCCCCCCCCCCGAAGGTACGTGACGCCGCCTGCTCGTGGCATTGGTCTGGCGATGCGCGCCCGTGATTCGCTGCCCGGAATGATGAACCCTGCTTGTGTCCGGGCCAATGAGAGTACCTTGATTAGGAAACAAGCTCTGATGTCGTCCGTCCACTCTACGACACTGTGCCTGCTCTTGTGTTTTTGACCCTTTTCCGTTTTTGCAGGTGCCGCAGACAGATGCTGAGAATGCTGTTTCGCAATATGCAGACGCACTAGCTGACAGCTGACAGCGCGAGGTGCGTTTCGCTCCGGGACAGCTTGTCGAAGTCAGTGACAGATTCGGCTTCGTTGCTACATGATGATTAAGTCAGCAGACATCTGGAATGATGATTATTACTTGCCCTCTCTGAAGCACATCATCTACCACGGTGTCGTTGACAAACGCCATGTGCCTGTCACTAAGCGGTTTCTCTTTGCAGCAGTTGGCGGAAAGTATGGCGGCACACCGCCCGCCGGCGTCAGCAATGCAGAGATCAATCCACGGCGGCGCTTGCTGCCGACCTGGTGAGTTCGGTGATGGAAAATGCATGGATGTTTTGCGATCATGTACGATGATGATCCCTGCTTGTGTCCGGGCCAATGAGAGTACCTTGATTAGAGAACAAGCTCTGACGTTGATCGCCGTTAAACGGCGGCTCAGCTCCGCGCTCTGGGCTGACCCGCGCCGTGGCGTCCTTGCAGCCCCCCGCTGGTCGAGGTTCTGGGCGCCTCCCCGGCAGCTGGTGAAGCGTCAGCTGCTTGCTCAGGTACGCGATGCCGTTACCAGTGTCTTGTGAACATTTTTGGCCAACCCAGTGTTAGCATGTAATCGGGTGTTTCATCAGTTGTTAATTACGGACCAGTATAGTGTAGTCCTCGGATGGTAACGTTCTTGTCGTTTATGGAGCTCGCTGCTGTGATGTCTGCTAGTGCCAGACATTTCCCAATCCTGTTGCCGGTTCCTGGGGCAGCGACAGTTCCGGTTGACCAGAATTCCAGCTGAACGTATGACCTGCTCGGCAGCGGGCGTGCTTATACGTTGGTTATGTCTGCTGTAGTGGATCGCTGTATGGCAATGTGCTCTCCATGCCTTTAAAAAAGTAGACAACCATTGGACTCAACCTGCAGGGTTATGCGCCCTACAGTTATGAGTTGCGTGTTTCATGCAGCCAACCTGCACTGAACAATAACGGGTCGAGTACCTTCAATGATAATGATTGCACAAATCATGCGATTAAGGCAGCATGTTTCATCGATATCTGTGTTTTATTTCGCTTCTGCAGGATCGGCTGCGACTCTTAACGTAACGCATGAGTTGATCAGACCCTGACCCCATGCAGCCCTGCAAACTTTTAGTCGACTTCGATTAAGACCCGAAATATGGCCCAGTTCCTGAATCGATTCTGGTGGAGTCTGTTCCGCTTGCAACGCCCCGGCAATTGATCGGTTTTTATAATTTTGCTGAACATGAATGATAGGTCATGATTTTGTTTGGCAATGCAGTGTTATTTGTTCCATTTCGTGCACTCGGACTAGGGATATATTGCGTTATCTACCTGTATATGCTTGGGTCGACTCCCACTTCCACCTGCAAGATAATTTCAAACACGTATGTAATCCCAGCTCAAGGAAAGCGTGTGTTTCTGGGTCGATTCCACTCGAAGGCAAGGATGTGCCGGCTTTGATCTTGATTATGGAAGGAATCATTGGTTAACGTGGATTAGGTGAAACTAAAGCTAGTTTTTGTTGGTCATGGCATGGGAAGGTCAAGGCATGTGCAATGCATGTAGTCTCAACCGCCCATGCGGAAATTTCTTGTTTCATTTCCAATCAGCAAGTCCAGAAACCATTCGGCAGAGGCTCAGATGTTAGTGCATAACAACCCCAATTAGATATGCCCCCTACGTGATGATCCCTGCTTGTGTCCGGGCCAATGAGAGTACCGTGATTAGAGAACAAGCTCTGATGTCATCGCTGTGTCGTGCCGTCGTGGGTACTGTGCAGCCTTTTTCTAACTCGTGTTAATGTATTGGCAGTGCTCGTGGGGCATGGTGAAGCCGTCCTGCCTGAGCTGATGTACAAGCCTCCCCCCGTGAAGGTATGTGACAGGAGTGATACGCCGGGGCAGGGGACAGGGCCCTGTCTGCGTATCTGCCCTGTCACACATATGTGACAGGGCAGATACGCCGGCTCGGCGTATCTGCCCTGTGGCATCTTACTTCTGTGCGGTAGCCGCGCGTTGAACGTTTCAATCGAGTCGGCATTACTGTGTTCGGCAAGTTCGCGTTGCGTATTCATATCGCCTCACTGAAATTGCTGCGTATTTAAGCGTGTCATACATGACGGTGTTTCATTCTAGATTTGTTAGTTTCTAATAACAAAGACTGTAGACACGAGTTTCCCGCAATTACCGTCATGTCATGACTGGATATGTTGGGAAGTGCTCGTTCCCGCATTTGTTTTTATTCCTAAACGTTAGCACGATTGCGCTGTTTCGTGTGAATGCGCCACACGCTCCCCATCCCCAAGGAAGGCTCATCCCGATCACTGGCTGAAGTCCTGTCCAGACGCGCGCACCGAGCCGTGGCCTCCTGTTTCCAGTGCGAGAGGGACCCGGGGCGGACCGAGCGGATCGCCGCCGAGCGATCCGGGCCGTCCGTATCCGTCCTGGAATGACCGTGGGCCGACGGGTGCGGCTCGTCTTGCGTTGTTAGACTCTGGTACGTGTGAAGTGCAGCCGCCCGCCGCGACAGCGGGCAGTCGCGTTCGGTAAAGACGCTGTTCTGGGGGCTTTGTCGTGCGAGTGATTCAAATGAGTGATGACTGCTACTTGTCATCCGAAGTTGATGCGACAGCAGATAAGGGGGCATTGGGAGCAGCCTTGTCACTTTTTCTTTTTAGGCTCGCATGAGTGACTTCGGTTTTCATTTTTCGCATGAGCTTCATGAGCGGGTACACGCAGAATGCGCGGCAACTGCATCTCCGAAAAGCTTCTGAGTTCACGGTATTTGTGTCCTGTCGCCAATATACGTTGAACGTAGCTATCGCTGAGTGCGGGCGAGATGACCAGTCGGGCGCGCGTATTCCAACATGATGATTAAGTCAACAACATAACCAAGTGATGAGGTTTACTTGCCCTCTCTGACGCCGGTTACCTCACGTGAGCCCGCTGCTAGAAGGTTGCGACCCTGAGCGGCATGTATCCTGTTCGCAGACCAACCGACCAAGTTGGCCGACCGGCTCCGACCATCGCATGGCGCGGCAGCCCTGGTCGGGGGCCGCAGGGACGACTGTCGGTCCCGGGCTCAGGCCACAGCTCGGAGCGCGTGGCGCGCGCGTTTCAGTCGCGATGCTCTGTGCGAGCGTGCTGTGACTCCGCTTGTGCGTGGCGCGGTGGCGCGCTGCCGACCGTCGGTGCTGACGGCGACACAGGTCAATACATTGGTGACGAGCCGAGCTGCTTGTGTGGCCGAATCTACCCCACAGATCGGCGTGCTCCCCTGTACGCGGCCACCAGCTGGCTCGCTGTGCGGGTGCCTTGCCCTGTGTACGGCTGTGAGGCTGCCTGGTCTCAGGCTAGTTCACGTTTGCCAGGACCGTTTGCGTAGCATGTAGATATTTGCTTGACAGCACTGCAGCGAAGGAGACTCCGCCTGCCAGCTACAGTTTGATTCTGGTGCTTAGCGACGCAGCACAACTCAGTCGGATCCAATTCCGCTCGAGGGGGGTATGTCCAAGATCCGGAATCTACTCCGTTGAAGTAAAGGCGCCGACAACAGTCGGACAGTGAGCTGTAAGCAGCGTGTTTCATGTATGTAAGGCCTTGCGCTTCTGGCTTTTTGACATCAATTAGGCTCTCATAATTGTATGAAGGTGTTCTTTGAACGGATGTGTCGATTAGTGCGGCTGAGCACTGTTCTAAGTTTTATGGGACGCGTATACTAGCGTGACTAAAAAACTATCATACCGAACTATGTCGTGCGCGAGCTTCTGGCGGTGGTGCGACAGCTGGACGATATGTTTAACGTTGTCCTTTTTGTTCGGTTTTTGGTCGTTCCTCCTCCGGAGAACCATTGGCCTCTGCGGAAAAGGAATGAGTGGGGTGGTTGGTTATTCTGTCAGACTCTTTAAGTAGTAATGTAGCCGTCCATTTTTTGAAAACAGAACGCGTCTTAGCTAACCAGATTATGCGCCTTATTGCGTTCCTCGCACAAATCGGGAAGCGTGTTTTCGGTTGGGTACCTGGACAAGCCGGCATTACTGGGAACGAGAAGGCGGACACTGCGGCATGGGAGAAAGCCGGAGACTCTTCCCAAGCGCCGCTCTCTGGCTCCAGGCAGATGCCGTCAAAGGTAGACGAGCGGCAGTTATCTCATCGCGACAGTAGAAAAGAGGAAGTCTGCGTGTGCCGCATCCACGTAGGTCGCAGATGCGGGGATACATTGTTTTCTCCCATCAGCGGGGCAGACACCGGAATGTCCTCGCTGTAGTCACGCGCCGCCCGTCGCTCGCATCCTCGTGCAGCGCCCACACTGCCACGGGGCGCTATGGCCGCCTCGGCCGTCAAAGGCAGCGCAAATCTTCCTCGCGTTCACTCAGGCGAGGACCTCAACATCGACGTGGAAGCAGTTATTGCATTTCTTGACGACAATGACTTCACGATCATCTCACCTTGACGCCATCTGGCGCCGCATGACGCTGGCTGAAAGCGCCCCAGCGTACTTCCCTTCCACTGCGCGTGTCGCGACCGGTCATCTTGTAAGCTGTGCTTTTTTGGAACGCTTCAGAAACCTACAACAGCGACATTATATAATATAACATGGCATAGTTCTGCACAACAACTACGTAGTGAAACGCTTCAGAAACCGACAACAGCAACATTATATAATATAACACGACATAGTCTGCACAGCCATACTTTAGGCGCAAAGTGGCGGCGGCTGTTGAGTGCCCTTAAGCCCAAATAACAACTGTGGCCCTGGCCTTTTGTGTAGTATAGACATTGGCTTCAGCTACGGTGTGAGCCGTGCGATGCCGATCTCATGCCGAGCCTGATGTGCCGTGCTGATTAACCGGAAATGCAATGCGAATAATGGTCAATGAATGCGATGTTCGTCATGTAGCATCCCGTCCCGTGGTGTACTCCTTTCATCGGTGTGTGTGTGGGGGGGGGGGGGGGGGTCCCACCGCTCCTTCCCGGGCAGGGCAGTGGGCCGGGCAGAAAGTGGATGACAGCCGCTGAATTTGTTGACGTGTTTTGTGACAAGGCTCGGTATTTTTCGCTGCTCAACCTTCCCCTCAACCATTTGGCGAAGCTTCACCTATGATTTGATGATCAAAGGCCATATTGCGCTCGTAACGGCTGTTAAGGGCTGTGCTAAGTTTTAACTTACAAGCAGTAAATACACCTGAAAACTGTCTCCTAGAAATAAAAACTGGTATGAGTGTAACAGCGAAGAGCCGCTTCCCAGCAGGTTACGATGAGTCAGGCATGACGCCTGTCGCCCAAAATGACGCAATCATCCCTCCTTGAAATGTTAACAGGAGCACAGCACATAATAAAACTGTCAAAGGTGCACCGCACTTAGGGCGTTGAGGTCGCCCGCCATCGCAAAACATGCAGCTGTCTGGCGAAGTATGGCCAATGAGCGGGCGGCACAGAACGACCTCTACACCAAGCCGTTCGCGACCTAGCTAGCCCAAGGTCCAACAGTGGCTTTGTCGTCCTTAGGTGGTTAGTGGGGTCGTCGCCCAAGCAGCGTTGTCGTTTGCTTTTTTGTTAAGTAAGCTGTGATTACTGGGTAGAAGTTCCTAGCTGGAAGCGGAAAAACGCGTGCAAAACGCACGAGTGGCCCGCTTTGCGGCGGCGGCGGCGGCGGCGGCTCGTTGCCCACTAATCCGACATAGCTTGAAATCCAGCATAGCACTGCAGTTTTCGCCACACCGATCAAGTATGTCAAACGAGTACGAACGTCCCGTAAAAACGGACACTGAAGGTAAAATGTCTTGACCCATGGCTGCTGAGACAGCATAGGCGGATCCTGGGAGGGGTGGGGGGGGGGGGCCCGGGGCCATGACCCCCCCCCAAAAAAAAACTCTGAGAGTATGTTTTGGCCCCCCAAAAACATTCTCAGAACTTCATAAATGTTTCGTCTACTTACCATCTGTTTTAACTGTTTTACCTGTTTTGTTTTAATTTCTGTTTAAGATTCAAACGCATTTCGGTGCTTGAATGGTATCCCTACTAGGTACTCGCGAGATGCACCATGCACTGGAACTCGGATCCCACACCTGCCAGCTGGCGACGAACGGTTGCCCCCCCCCCCCCCCCCAACTCCAGGCTAGATCCGCCCCTGTGAGGCAGTCAGATACGACCAAGCGTAGGTAATCACATGATATCGCCACCATTCTGTGTCTCTGGTGTCGGCCGTATTTTTCTGGGAACGACGAAGTGCTCAAAAACACTTCTGTTCACCCGAGGAAAGTAACAGTGAAAGCAATGTGTCTGACATTGCCGTGAGAAAATGTTTTCCGGTAGGTGATTCTTTTCATCGATATTTCAGCAATATCATGAAGCGGGTCTAAACCGTTGGGGAAACCCCTTTTTATATAAGATACCGCTCGCTCAGCCCCCACGACTCACCCAGCAGGACTATAATCCTGTGGGCTAGCACTGAGGAAGGATTACGTACTGCGTCTCTAACTTTGGATGGGCTATTCTTGCAAATGTTCTTGGGTGGGGTGCGAGCCGTCCAGGAGGTCGGGCCTCCCGCAGAGGTCTTGCCGAAAATGAGCCCGGCATCGCCTGGGTCCTGGTCGCTGCGCGGAAAATTCGGAAAGGCCTCGTCAGTAGTTGTGCTCGTCAGTAGTTGTGCTCGTCAGATGGCATGCCGTTTTATGACAGTGAATATAAATATCGGTTAGTCTCATAGACAATGTAAACCCAGATAGATAAGATTATTCCGATTTCAGCAGGATATACCAAAAATTCCCCGGCTGTTCTGCATTCTGGAAAATTGCGATGCATTGGCACAAATGATGCAGCTGTAAATGCAAAGATTTGAAAGCACATGATGTGTGACGGAGACCGGTACTTTGTCACCTTGAATGCTTTTACAGTTTGGGTGATCTCACCTACGCTGCGTAAGTGAAAATTTCATCGCCTCTTTTACTCGAAGAAAGCAACAGTAGCGCCACATTTGTCTGACCCTGCTGCTTTGTGGTTAGATATTTTGCGCACGCTCGGCGTTGATTTCCCCTGTGTGGGTGTGCCGCTCGGGTGTGCTGCATTTGACTGACTTTGGCGAGACCCTAGAACTACCATTTTGACAATTTGTAAATGGTTGAGCGTCTTGTTAACGGCTGAAGTGTCGGGAACACGTTTGAAAGTATCGGACGCTGCGTCAGAAGGTAAGTGCGATTTCATGCTCGCGAATACTCATCTGGGTTCGTTTATGAAGTGATGTAGCGCTGCCTTACCACACTCGTGTGTTTTTCTTTTTTTGTTGTTCAGATTGAGTTCAGGCATTATGAACATGTGCTGTTCAGTAATGTCAGTATGTTTGGTGGTAATGTAACATTATTTCTTGCTAACATATGAGGAATAGTTCTTTAAGGGTTTACTTGCCACACGCAAATAGTTATTAAAATTAAAATAAAGTTTTTGCATCACTACTGTATTTCTGCACTTTTATTTCTCTCTCTGCAGCTTCTGTGCTCACTGGATGTCATCTAAAAGCTAGTATTAAGAGCAGATTGGAACATGTGGATGTTTGCTCACAATGGAGTGTTCACCCATGATGAGTCTTTTCCTGTTGCTCATCAAAAAATGGTGAAATGTTTGGAGGGGTTGTAGAAACACAGAATATACTACTGCAGAAACTATTTTGGGAATGAATGGGCTGTCTGCATAATTTAACCAAGCAGTTTTGGCACACTGATAGGCAGATGATGAATAATACCAAATATTGAGCTAAGTGAAAAGTACATGTTCAGATTGGTAAATGCATGTGATAATGAGATTCCTAGGAATATAAGACAAGAATTAATAACATGATTTTATCTGCCTGCACCAAGTTGCACACCCATCCTTTGTTTTTGACATGTGATAGCAAATGAAGATGTGAATTACCTGCACCATTGATGCTTACCACAGCCTCCTTTGAAAGGCTCCCAAAAAGAAGCTTTCATTTTGGAAGAGGTTGGAAAAGTTTCAGATGAGCTTTGAGGAGCTTGTAGAGGGCTGGAGGAATCACAAAAATGTTCAAATTAGTCTGGAGGAGCTTTCAAAACATTTCAGGAGTTTAGAAGGATGGGAACAGGCCCAATACATCCTGGATTGTATATTGTTTATTCTCCATTGAACAATTGTATTAATCATCTTTGTTTACAACTGCACTGTGCTTTCTGGTGCCAAGAAACAATAATCCTTGGAGGGATGCATGCACATTTTGTCA